AAAGATTTTAGGAGACCTGTGTCAGGAACTGGGGCAGAGACCTATATATATATACATTTTTTTCTTATTATTTCATAGGACATGAAACCCAAAAGTTTTAAAACTGCTATCCTAAATAAATCCCTTCAGGGGAAAATGAAGCCCCAAGGGGCTGGGGCTTGGACAGGAGAGCATCATTCAAACTGAACCCAGATCTTATGATTTCTGGTCCCGAGTCTTACTATAACCCCACGCTGCCTAACACACCACTGAGCATGGAACACCACCGAGCCAGACCCAAGATATGTGACGTGGAGAAGAAAATGGAAACCCAGGAGAGAACTGTTATCCTATGCTCCACAGCACCTCCTGCCTGAGCCCAGAAAGCATCGCAGGGGTGCGGACTGAGCCCAGACAGGGCAACAGAGGGAGGGGGTGCAGGGCAAGGTCATGCACATGACGAGCCTGGAGAGTAATCGCGGGTAGAACGTCCGGCAGCAAGTGGGTCCACAGTTTACATTTACGTATGTGTGAGCGTGTGTGTGTTATTACACACGTACGTGTGTGTATGTATATATATTAGACTGGACAGAATCGATGTCCCGTATTAAACTTTAGATAGAATAACACTTTGATTCAAAGTTTTGCTCAGTTGTCAATAAATAGAGATATTCTTTGATCAGGCATTGCCTTAGTCAGTGTTGGGAGAGCCGCCCATCTGTGAGGAGGTGAGCTTGGAGGGCCGGGTCCAGGCCAGCACCCAGCTGGGGGCGTGTGTCTGTCAGCAGGGCCCCCTCTGCCCCTCTCGCCCTGATGCTGGGGAGTCCGGCCGTGGGCAGAGGGGAGACCTCCTCAGGGAACCTCACGCCGTCGCAGGGCCTCCAGGGACCCTGACCTGCCATCTGCGAGGGGCGTGTCAGGGCTCCTCTGTGACCCAGACCACACACAGTGCCTGGGCTTTGTTCTCTGTTCCGGTCGGAGGACCCCTTGGGGCGGCTGTCCCCTGGGAAGGCCGAGTCGTGGCTGCTAATGGAACAATCAGGAACTTAGTCATCTCATAGGAGCCTGAGGCCACGAGACACGGGACAGACAGGCCTTGCGGGGTTCTAGAGGGAGACAAGGGCCGTGCCATGGATGCCAGGAGGGTGGGCACAGTCTGGGGACGATGACTCCCAGTCCAGGAGTGCCCAGAATGGGTGCAGCGAGTGGGGAGGAAACTAGACCCTCAGCTCTGGCTCCGATGCCTTTAAGGCCAAACTGACCCAGAGTTGTTGGGGTAAAAGCAGGTACAGGAGGGGGAAACCAGGGCCTGCGTTCTGCCCCGAGCCCTAGGGCTCCAAACTCGGGCAGGATGAAGAGTAACGGTCCCACAAGGAAGCAGCAGGACTGGCCTCCTCTGCTGGACAGAGACTGCTCCTGAGGTTGCCTGGCCTCAATCCAGTCCCAGAACCCGAGCCGCAGCCCCGCTCACTCCCCAGCTCCCCCAGGCCCTGCTGGCATGAAGGTCTGGCCCCAGCTCGTCTCTCTGCCCTCCCTTCCCATCACATGCCCTGGGCTTGAGCCAAATGGAACCCCATGCTCCTCCGCTACGTGCCTCCTCCCAGCCCATCTCTGCTCCGCTACCCCCGCTCCACTCAGGACACCATCCCCTCACCACCCTGCTCCTGTGTTCTGGGCCAAACCTGGCCCACCCTTCCTGGTTGGATTAGCTTTCTAAATTTGTTAATTACCGTGAATTTAGTGGCTTAAAACAGCACATACTTGGGACTTCCCTGGTGGTCCAGTGGTTAAGACTCTGCGCTTCCACTGCAGGAGGCATGGGTTCGATCCCTCGTCGGGGAACTAAGATCCTGCATGCCATGCGGCACGGCCAAAAAAACCCGGAAAACACGCTTATGACGTCCCATTTCTGTAGGTCAGAAGTCCTACCCAGGTGTCACCGAACTCAAGTCAGGGTGTCAGCAGGGCCTCCAGAGGAGAGTCTGCTTCCCGGCCTTTTCCAGCTTCTAGAGGACACCACATTCCTTGGCTCGTGGCCCCTTCTTCCACCTTCAGTGTCTTTGACCCCGCTGTTGTCCTCACACCTCACATCTTTCTCTGACCACAACCAGAAAAGCTTCTCCTCTTTTAAAGACTCACCTGATGAGACTGGGCGCACCTTGATAATCCAGGGTCCTCTCGCCATCCCAAGGGCTTTCACCTAATCACATCTGCAGAGTCCTTTTTGCCACGTAAGGTGACATATTCACAGGATCCAGACTTAGGATATGAACATCTGGGGCAGGCATTATTCTGCCCCGCACTGGCCCAGCTCCGGTAGCCCCCGTGACCTGCAAAGCATCCTCTCCACCTTCCGGGCTGCCTTGGCCCGTGGGCCCCTGGAGATCTTCCTCTCCACAGCTTCCAGCACCCTGGATTGTAACGGTTTGTTGATTTGTCCTTTTCCTGCAGTAAACGTCAAGTACCATGACGGCAGGGACAGGGTCTCTCTCGTCCACTGATATATCCTAGCAACTAGTACAGAGCTGGGCGCGTAGTGTTCCAAAAACACTTTAGTGCAGAAACTCTTCTACAGAATTTAACTATATTAAATTACCTTCTGGTTCCATGCCTTCTCTACAAGACACATCTTGAAAGCAGGGTTCACATGTGGCTTGTCTGTTGTGTCCCCGGGGGCATCTGGACAGTATTCAGCATACGCTTGTGGAATTGGATTGAAGAAAGAGGTTCAGCCTCCTCTCAATGGCCTAGCTCTTAAACGCGGGGCCCACGGAGGACGTGTGGGAATGAGGCGCACTGGGTCAGGTAGGGCTACCTGGGAAAAGTTTCTGGAAGAGAAGCGCTTGGGGCAGAGGTCTGAAAGAGATGCAGGCTGAGGGGGTGATGACATCCTGCCAAGAGGACTCATATGAGCAAAGCCAAGTGTGGGAGACAGCTGGTGCGGGGTAACCAGAGCTGAGATGGGAGGGCCAGGGCTCGGACACCAGGTGGAGGGGTCTCGAGTTGATGCGATAGGGTGCTCGCAGGGATTACAGAGCAGTGAGCGAGGTGCTGAAAACAGGATTGGATGGAAGACAGGATGGAAGCAGGAGGACAGAGTGCAGTATGCCAGCAGGGCAATGATGGCTGTCCCTTAGGGTCACTGGCATAGACTCGAGGTGGAGACAGGAGAGAACAGAGTCAAAGATCATTTGATGCACACATCCTTGCATTCCTGAGAAGTGCAGGATGATGGCGCACAGAGGAAGCTGGGAGGCCTCGCTTCCATTTTGTGGTGAAGGTGGTGAGACCAGGGCTTCCCTGGTGGCGTAGTGGTTGAGCGTCCGCCTGCCGATGCAGGGGACACGGGTTCGTGCCCCGGTCTGGGAGGATCCCACATGCCGCGGAGCGGCTGGGCCCGTGAGCCATGGCCGCTGAGCCTGCGTGTCCGGAGCCTGTGCTCCGCAACTGGAGAGGCCACAACAGTGAGAGGCCCGCGTACCGCAAAAAAAAAAAAAAAAAGATGGTGAGACCAGCACTGGGTACCTTTAGTGTCGGGTGTCAGAGGACCATGAGCTGAAGGTGACCGACTCGGCCCTCTGCTTTTGTCCCCAAGAAGGTCTCCACTGCCACATAGGAGGTGTATGGGGGGGAGGGAGGGTGCCTTTCCAGTGCCTGAACTGTCCCTTCTGCCCCCACGGGACAGGCATCCTCTCTCTGTCCCAGCCTGTTCCCCAAAGCAGCCACTCTGACCTCCAGAATGAGCTACGGTCTCCATTGACAGAGCCCCCACTGTTCCAGGTGCTTTGCACATATAGATTCGTTATATCCTGAAAGTAGGTCATATTATCCCCATTTTATGGATGTGGAAACCGAGGCTCTCTAAAGGATAAGCCAACCACCCCAATTCTCACAACTAGTACGAGAGGAACCAGGATTGGTGCCCTGGTTGGCCTAGGGCCAAAGCCCACAAGCTCTGTGTGCCACTGTGGTACCTCCTGTGGGTCCTCCGGCTGGCGGATTTTAAATCTACCCAATTCAGCAAGCAGGGACTCTGCAGGCGGAGGGGGTACAGGGAGGGACACATATCAGTAGGAGGGACCCAACGATCCCCACAGGAAGTGCCCACCACAATCCACGGTACCCCCCCCCCCCACAACGGAATCCCAAAATATCGACTGAAGGGTCTTTGCATCCAACCAACTCCCTTCACACAAGGAAGCAGAGGCGGGAGAGGGGAGATGTCTTCCAGGTAACACCACTGCTTAGTGGCAGAGCGGGACCAAAGCCCAGGTGTCTTCACCAGGGTCGGTGCCCTAGACTCGGACGACTCCTCTCTCTTTCCTTTGCAGCTGGACCGAGCTCACCCCTGCCCCTCAGCGGCCCGGACCTCCCCCGCCCCCCGCACATCCCGCCCCCATCTGCCGGGTCCAGAACCAGCACCAGGGGACCAGGCTGGGAGCTGCGGGGCGCACCCTTCACGGGCCCAGCCCGCCCCTCGCCGCCCCGGTTCCTCCTCCTGCCGGGGAGGGGGAGGAGAGGTGGGGCCGCCCTCTGCAGCAAAGATGCGACTCAGATAACATCTCCAAATTGTGGATGAGGACGGAGCCCTTGGATCTGCTTTTATCGTTATTGTTGTTACTAGCTTATTGTTTATCAAGTGCTTTCTCTATATAACGGCAAGACTGAACAGCTTAGGCCCGCTCCGAAACCCTGGATTTTGAATACAGGGAGGAGGGAGCTCGGCGGTGGAATTCTGCGGCCGCAAGGAGGCCACACCTTCCCAGCTTCTCGTTCGCTTGCAGACGCTCCCTTTTCCTGTATGGTAGGGTTGAGAAATGCCTCCCTCTCCCTTGCGCGGAGCCTCGGCGCCCATGCGGAGGCGGGCCTTGTTGCCTTGGCGACATCCCCAGCAGCCAATAGAAGCTGGAGGGGCGGGGCCGGCCGGGTCCTGTGCTGCCAAGGCGGGGTTCGCAGGTTAGCAGGCGTGCGTTGGGGTAGGGCTGCGGGGGTCGCGGGGGTCGCGAGGGCCTTGGGGTACGGGGCCCGCGGCCTGGCTGTGGGGTTGGGGCTCCCAGACTTCGCGCCTCAGGTTCTCCTCGGCCGGAGCGGGAGGAGCTGCGGGCGGTGATGAGGGAGGGCGGAGGAACGCGAGATGGGGGTCGCTGGCCGGCCTTGTCCGGCGGACCCGAGGCCCGCGGTCCCGCCCAGGAGGCCCCGCGGCCCGGCGCGCCAGGTGGGCTGTGGAAGTCGAGGCCTGGGGGAGAGGGAAGCGCCTTCGCGGACCAGGCTTGGAAGGCCCAGGACCCCGGGCCCAGCTCCCACCCGCTTACCATGCCCGAGCAGGGCGGTTCGCTCCGGGGCCGAGGGTGCTGCGTGGCCGCCCGCCCCTTCTCCGCCTCAGTATTTCTCTTCCAGGTGGGCGGTCTTGCCGGCCCCGGAAGTCTGAGAAGCATGAAGCTCCTGGGTTTGGTGGCCGTGGTCGGAAGTCTGCTGGTGCTCCCAGCCCAAGCCAACAAGGTGCAGCTCCCATGCACGACCACCCTGCCTGCGCTCCGGCATCCCGGGGGGGGCTGCTGCTCCAGCCCGGCCCCTCACTCCCCTTCGGGCCGTGCCGGTGCATGTTCTCTCGGCCCTAGGCTGCAGGCCTCCGGGAGAGGGGGCGTCTGCGGGGCACGCGTCTCGATCGGGCACGCCGGAGGTGGAATTCCGGTCAGGGTTCTGTGTTTGGGGAAGTTGTCTAAGTTCTCAGTACCTTCTTGCTTTGCTCTTGGGTGCCTACTGCCCTAATCGGAGCTTCCAGTAGCCCAAGGAGTGGGCGTAATGTGAGGAGTGTGAAGTCTGCACAGATTGCAGGTTTCTGGGTGGAGGGGACCCACCCCCGAGCTGGGACTCGAGGTAACTTCCATTCCTTAGGGGTAATGGCCCGGAGCTGGGTTTGGGTAGGTCTCTGGAATTCGAGATTATGAAGGTCACTGAGGCTTTGAATCGGACTGAGTCTCGGTTTGTTTCCACTTCCTCCTGGGAATGCTAATTCGAATGCAAATTTTGTGTTGTTGTCTCTCTGACCCATTCCAGGGAGGGAGAACTTCCAGAGGGGTTGCTTGAGTGTTTCCATGGAAGCGTCCACTTTTTCTGGTTCACGCCAGTCTTCTCCTTCCCTGATCCTAACCTAGGAAGTTGGAGGTGGGGTTGGGGGAAGAGGCCAGCCGCCAAGACTGCTGGACCCGGGTACACACACAGGTGTGAGGCCCAGAGCAGAGGACTGCCACCTTGCTTGCTCCTCCCCCAGGCCCCCTACCTGGGAGTGGCAGCCCTGGGTAGCCTGTGAGTATCATTCGCGCCCAGACAGTTTCTCGAGGACCCTGTGATGTAGCATTCTTCCTGCAGAGGTCGTTCCTGCTGAACTTGGGCATGGGGGCAGGTCAGAAGCGTTCATATGGTCAGGGAACCATATGAACAGGGAACTGAAAGTGGAGAGTCTTGCTAGAACTTGAACCCAGGGGCCGTGCGCACCTGATATGTGCTTTCTCTCGCAGAGTTCTGAAGATATCCGGTGCAAATGCATCTGTCCACCATATAGAAACATCAGTGGACACATTTACAACCAGAATGTGTCACAGAAGGACTGGTAAGGCATTGCCCAGGCTGGCCCTTGAGGTTGTGGGTGTTGAGTGGGGTTCATGGACCCCTGGAGGATAAGCTTGCTCTCCCATTTCTATGGAGAACCTTACAAAGGAATGTTTTGTCCCTGGTCACACAACCGATTAGAAATAGGGTCCGCGTGTCTTTAATTCCAGCTGAGGGGTTCCTGGTCAGAGGAGTGGATTTTGATTTGCTTTTTTTTCTGGTACGCGGGACTCACTGTTGTGGCCTCTCCCGTTGCGGAGCACAGGCTCCGGACGTGCAGGCTCAGCGGCCATGGCTTACGGGCCCAGCCGCTCCACGGCATGTGGGATCTTCCCGCACCGGGGCACGAACCCGTGTCCCCTGCATCGGCAGGCGGACTCTCAACCACTGCGCTACCAGGGAAGCCCTTTGATTTGCTTTGATGTGGGTGTTTGTTCATATCTGCAAAATGGTAACAGAGAAGCCGGGAGAGGTAAACATTAGAGCCACATACCGGGGGATCTTTCGCCTACTTGCGTGCGCTTGGCGAAGCTCTGTTACACGCGTCATTTGATGCCAGTGTCTAACCACCTTGTAAGGCAGTGGGATGGGTTGTGTCCCCATTTTAGAGCTGCAGAGATTGAGGCCCAAAGAGAATTTACATTATACTCCTGGAGTCTTGAATTCATTTCTGGCTGCCTCACTTCAAGAAAGAGAGAAGTAATCAAAAAATCATTCAGAGAAAGGACATCAGCTTGTTGAAGGCAAGTTTCAACATGCTGTCCTGGAAAGAACGGTTTAAGGAATTATAGTCTGAGAAGGAGAGGACTTGGGGACACACGCAGCTGAGAGGGCAGGAGAGGGGCTGGCGTGCTCTGAGGCGCACCGTGTGGTTTGGGTGTAGGACTGGGGCCAGCGAGGAGAGCTCCAGGGAACCAGATTGAAGTGTGAGTTGAGGGGGGCGTTTCCTGTGCAGGCCGTTTGAGGAGCAGGGGCGCCTCATCCCGGAGGGCTCTGAGCGCAGGTGCGGTGATACCTGCATCTGGTCCCCGTGGAGCGGTTACGCCACACGGGGGAGCCCAGGTCCGCGTTGCCTCTACTTGGTCAGGTGTCAGGATCACCAGGTGGGCTTCGAGAAAATACAGAGTCCCAGCACCCCGTCCGCCATGATTTTTGGGTTCTTTTCTGTTGTTGTTTTTCCCAGCTTTATTGCGATGAATCAGACATGTGGCGTTGTATAAGGTTACGTGATTTGATACATGTATCTATTGTGGAACAAGGTTAGACACCACCTCCATCGCCTCACAGGGTAACCATGCAGGTGTGGGTGTGGCAGAACATTTAAGATCTACTCTCTTAGCAGCTTCAAGTGTACATAATTGTTAACATGTATTGTTGACGATAGTCACCATGCTGTATGTTAGATACCACCCCCCACCCCCCGCCCAAGATTTTGATTCAGTGAATATGGGGGTTGGGGCATGGCAGAAGCTTTTTCTTAAATAAGTGATTGTTAAATAAGTGATTGTGAAGCAGTTGGTCCAGAGCAGCATTTGGGGGTTTTGAACCTGTCCAGCTCCGAGTGTGTGATTTTTCTGAGAACCCGTCTGGTTAGATGCGGACTCTGGATCGACCCTGCCTGCCTTTCAATCTAGCTTTGCTCCTTGTTCATTGTGAAACAAGTTACTTAATCCCCAGTGTATTCAGCTTCTTCATCTGTAAAGCGGTGGCAGTATTTTGAGTATTAAATAAGAGTGTGTGTGTGTGTGTGTGTGTATGTGTATGTGTGTGTATGTGTGTGTATGTGTGTGTGTATGTGTGTGTATGTGTGTGTATGTATGTGTGTATGTATGTGTGTACGTGTGCGTGTGTACGTGTGCGTGTGTGTATGTGTGTGTATGTGTGTGTGTGTGTGTGTGTGTGTGGGCTCGCGCACACTTGTGCAATGCATGTACAAGTAAGTATAGCACTTAGAACAGTTCCCAGCACATGGTGAGGCCGTATGAATGTCGGCTGATAGTATTAGTAATGTATATTGTTATGCCTTCCTAGAGGCCACAAAGAGGCCGACTTACGCCACAGCCCAAGAGGGAAGCCCCAGTTTCCTTCTGTCTTTGCCCGTCCTGATAGAGTTACAAAGCCCCAGGACCTGGAGCCCTGGGGAAGCCCCTGTGACCTCCTTGTATCTTGTGGTTACAGTTCAAATAGCGTCAGGAATAAACGACTAGATTGTCTCAGCCCGACACCAGCTACATCCCTCAGGCACCCCCACATTGTACCAGCACTGTCTCTGCACTGGGGCCAGAGTATGGCCCCAAGCCAAGCGTGGATGCCACGGAGGATGGCGTCCTACCTGGACCTCTCAGGCTGTGGCTTATCTCCTTCCCCTGGGAAGGCAGCATTGGGGGGCTGCCTGAGGAACAGTTCCACGAAGGCTGGTGGGTGGAACGTGAGGCTGGGATATACACCCCAGGGTTCTGGGACCCAGTGATCCTGGCCTGTCAGGGAGGGGAGGCATCGCAGGCTGCCTGGAGCCCTGCAGGGGAGGGGTGGGGCCTGACCCTGTGATCCTAGACCTCAGGCCAGGGCCAGAGGAGACCAGGTGTGTCCTCAGGCCGCTTCCGCATGGTCCCTCCACTGCGAGGAGGACACCTGGGCCCTCCCCTGGTGGAGGGGTGTGAAGCCAGGGTGTCTGAGCGGCACAGGCCACGTTCCCGTGTTGCAGGCGCTCTGCCGTCTCATGCTGGGGGTCCTCGTGCCTGTGAGGGGCAGAAACCCCGACACCTTCTCCCTGATGGTGGAGCTCCCGAGGAGTGCACTAGAGAGACAGTCCCAGAGCTGGCTGGTACAGTGTCTCTCACACTTTTAAAAATACAGGCTTCAAACAAATCTGTTTTGGAAACAGATTGTGTAGAAGTCAGGACTGCCCCCGCTGAGCAGAGCGACTGTGGCCCCTCCCTCCCACCCTCCGCACAGAGGGTCCTGGGGTGCCCCAGGGAGCGCATTTTGAAGGACACTGATAAACACACACATGTCCTCATGTGTCCATGACGACACCGAGGCCCAGAGAAGTTACACACATCACCTGCAGAAGGCGGAGACTTAACCAGCTTGCCCTCCGGTAACCCTCTCCCCTACGGCGCTATCACTGATCCCCAAAAAGGGACACGTCACGGTTTCACTGATTCTCTGGGGAGAGAACACATCCCTGTGGGGAACCCACACGTCCCACTGGTGCACCAGAGTGACCTTCCAGACCCAGGGAGAAATCTGGCCCCCAGAGGCTGGTAGAGGCCCCCGGAGAGGGGAGGCCCCAGGAGTGATGCCCCAGTGCTGGGTGTGGACCTGGCCCTGTGCGGCGGCCCCTCCCCGGGCAGGGGCTGAGTTACGGCAGGGAGCCATGTGCCCAGCGCTGGAAGTGGGGTCATCAGAGGTTCAGGTCAAATCACACCCTCCACATACGGACTTTTAGGGGGAGCAGAGGCTTGTGGAGGACATGCCAGCCCACGCTGTTGGCGCCTCTGCCAGAAACCCCGCCTGAGCCTCAGGGCCCCTGGGACAGCCCGGGCCAGAGCTGGAAGGGCCTGGAGGGTCATCCGGCGCCACCCCTGCAGCTCCCAGAGGTGCAGCTCCCAGAGGTGCAGCTCCCAGAGGAGCTCGGGCCCAGGGCACCAGGCTCCTGGTGGGAGGGCCCGGCTGAGAGACAGCAGTGGGAGGGGATAGGGAAGTGGGGTTCAGAGATGTTGAAGACGGCAGTCACTGGCTTGTGGTGGATCCGTGGGTCAGAGGAGGCCTGGCGGAGGCGCTGCCTGCCACGGGGACAGACCCTGGACCCGAGGGACTGGGGTGGGGTGGGGGTGGAGTCTGTGCCGCTGGGACACTCACCCGGTGAGTCGCGGAGGGCCAGGGCCTCGAGAGGCTGTGGGTTGGGAAAGGGGTTCCGCCAGCCTGACCCCTCAGAGACCCTCCCCTCCCTGGGGAGCCCCCCGGCTGCCCCCACAGCCCTTTGTCTGTTGCAGCAACTGCCTGCACGTGGTGGAGCCCATGCCGGTGCCCGGCCACGACGTGGAGGCCTACTGCCTGCTGTGCGAGTGCAAGTACGAGGAGCGCAGCACCACCACCATCAAGGTGCCCGGCGGCCGCCCCGCCCCGCCCCTGCGCGGCCCCGCCCCACCCCCTCTTCCTGGGGGGCCTGCGTGGCCCCGCCCCGCCCTCCGTCCTGTCCTGTTTGCTTCTGCAGCGTTGCTCGGGGCTGGGGGGCTGGCTCGAGGCTGGCCTGGTCGCAACCCAGGGACCTCCTTCCCACCCCGCTTGGGGCCGCTCTCCCCTCTGACGCCATCACACTCGCGGGGGTACCTGGGAGGGGGGCTGAGACCCCTTCCCCCACGCTTCCCGTCTTCCTCTCCCTTCTCGCCTTCCGTTTGTTCAGTAGACATTTCCGGGGCTCCTGCTGTGTCCCGGGCACCGTAAGGGATGATGGAGCGGAGGTAGCCCGCCCTCCGGAGCCTGCAGTCTAGTTAAGCTTCCAGAGCTGCGGGCCTGGCAGGATGGCCATCAGATGCCCCCCTTGCTTCCCCTGAACCCCATTCTCATGGGCATCAGTGAATTCAGGGGAGGTGGTGGAGTGGCCACCAACACACAGTGAGGACATGGAGAGGCCTGGTCCCTGGTCCCCTCCAGGCAGACGAGCCCCCAGCACCACCACACCCCAACCAGGGCGAGCCTGGCCGTGCTTGCGGATTTCCAACAGAAGCCTCTCCTGGTCCAGCTCTTAAGCTTATTTCTGCGTGTCTGGTGAAGGGTCTGGAAATAGCATCAGGAAAGAACCCCCAGGAATTTGGCAGCAGCCCTGAGCCTGCCCTCGGGCTTCCCTTTCGAGGTTCTTTTGAAGGGGAAGTGGTCCTCACCGCTGCCCTCCCTGCCTGGCCCATGGTGCCCATCCTGTCCCCTCTGACGTGGAGACGGTTGCCTGTCCACCCTCCCTATCATCACCCCTTCACCTCTGAGCTTATCCACTGGCCCCACGCTTGGGGGACCAGGTCCCCAAGACCTTAGATTGGAAGGGACTTCCTGACGTGGGGACCTCATCAGATACATCTTAATCCCCCAGTTTCCCTGTAGTCCTTGCTAAGAGACCAGAGAGAACCCCCTCCAGCTTCAGCCCCCCCCCCTTCCTGGGGTACAGGCAAGAGTTCTGATCCTTCACCCTGGCTGAAGATGCCCCAGTCAGGGAGGCGTGTGGTCCAGCTGGACTTGGCTGTGGACTAAGCTCGGCTCCCGTCACAGCGTAGACACGGGGCTAGGGTCGCCAGCGACAGATGGCAGTTGGGGAGCAGAAGAGGCTTAGGAGTTGCAGTCACGGCAAATCTGGGTTCCAGGCACATCCACCACTTGATATTCTTGGGACTGAGGGTGATGGCGTGGCCTGGGGGGCTCTGCATCAGGTGAGTGTCAGCCCCTGGGGGACATTTGGAGATGGACTGTGGCCCCAGTAACTGTGGTGTGTTACTGACCGTGGAGGGCAGTGTCCTGGGGAGTCCTGCCTAAGGTGCCCGGAGTACCCACACTGGGAAACATCTCATTAGCTTCCTTGACTCTGTTTTTCCTGTAAAACAAAAATGACTGCAGCTTGGGAGGCTCTCCAGGCCTGTAATTCTGCCCCAGCCTCACCTCCTGCTGTGACTGACGGTGGGGGGGGGGGTGTCTGTGGCCGCGGCCTGTCCCCTCTGCCCCCTGAAGGTGACTCGCCCTCTTGGGACTGAAGCTCCCACCCCGTCACCCTGTGCTGCCCTCAGCAGAGCTCGGTTCTCCCCGCTCTGACGGGCGCTCCCCCTGCCCCCGTCTGGCCGGGCAGATTCCCCTCCCCGCTCTCCACTCCTGGGGGCGCCTCATCTGTCATCTTTGTGCTGCCAGAGAACTGGTGGCTCTTGTGGGGTCCCACCACTGAGGGCACAGTCAGCAAAGGTGGGGTGGGTCGTTCTCCGCGCCCGCGGTCTCCTGGCCTGTCTGCAGGCAGCACTCGGGGCCACACTGCCCAGTGAAGACAGACTGCAAGGGAGGGGAGCGGCATCCCGCAGGGCAAGCTGGGTCCCTTCCGCTCGCAGGTCATCATCGTCATCTACCTGTCGGTGGTGGGCGCCCTCCTGCTCTACATGGCCTTCCTGATGCTGGTGGACCCTCTGATTCGAAAGCCGGACGCCTACACTGAGCGGCTGCACAACGAGGAGGAGAACGAGGTAGCGGCCCCTCCGCCCAACGCGGCGTCCCTGGGGCCTCGGCGGGCGGTCTTCCCCTCCCCCAGCGCTCCAGTGGCTCCTCTCCCGTGTGGTGTCCTGTGCGTCACCCGGACCGCAGTGTCTCCTCAGCGGGGGCAGCCTTGAGTTTTCCCTGATTGGCATCAACAGCTTCAGTGCACGGGTCGGGGAGCCTCCTTGTCGCCCTGCATTCCTAGCAGAGGGCCAGTGAGCCCGCCAGGCAGCCCCATGTGGGTGCTCAGAGCTTGGTGTCAGGCTGACGGTGGACTTGGAGAGTGTACCCGGAGAGTCAGGGGAGCCCGGGGTGGGACACAGGAGGCGCAGGCAGCTCTGTGGGAGTGAGAGGTGGTGTGTGTCGTGCAGAGCTGTGACGGTGTCAGGGGCTCCTGGCCTGTGCCCCTCGAGCTCGCCCCCTCGGGCCTACACAGCCGCCACGTGTGCCCGAGACAGCAGTGAGGGAGGAGGGGTGCCCCAGAGGGTGGCATCTGCGGGCAGGTGGGGCTCAGGACGCTTCCTGCCCTGGGGACCAGCTGCGCGCAGGTGCGGAGAGCTCGGCCTCACCCTGGTTTACGTAAAGCCTGGGTGGAAGGACCACAGCCGGGAGGTTAACACGTGTAAGAGGGACTCTTCCTGCAGGGACACAGGTGAGCGAGGTGAAGGGTGAGTGGTCACTAGAGCACCAGGCTTAGGCTGCAGCGCTGGCCGGCTGTCGCCCTTGAGGGCATCTCACGTAGCGGGTGGAGCTGGGAAGGGCAGGTTCCCGCCAAGAAGAGGGGCTGGGGCTCAGACCTCAGCGTGAAGCTGCCCGGCCGGCCACATGGGGCAGGCGTGCACACGGCCAGGGAGGGAGGGGGCCTGGCCCGTCCCTGGACCCCATGGCCCCTCGGGGGTGGGTGCCCCCAGCCTCCTGCTGACACGCGCCCGGCCAGTGGCGCTGGGGCTGGGAGGCGGGCATGGGGGGGCCGGCAGTTGGGTGGTCTCTCTGCCCAGGAGGAAATCTCGCATGCCTACCTGGTTATTAACGCGCAGTAACAGCGGCTCTGCTGGGGGCAGAGCGGCGCGGGTGAGTACCCCGTGATTAGGGGATGCGTGCGGTAATTGCAGCCCTGGCTGGGGAGCGGCTGAGAGATGGGCCATGATTACACGGCTCCGCGGCCTCCCCGGAATGCGTGCCACCTGGCTGCAGAGCCCGAAGGGAGGGCAAGCCGCACGGCTCTTTATGGGCCCCGCCCTGGGCACCCCGGCTCGCCCCGTCCCTGTTTCTCTTCCTCCTGACGTACTCAGGTCCTGCAGGTGCCCGTGTAGACAGATGCACAGACCTCGGGCCCGCCCTCAGGGGGAGAGCCCCCGGTCAGGGATACGGGATAGAAGGCTGTCGGGAGGGGCGGGGGAAGCTGGGGCTGACTTTTCCTGGGTGTTAGTGTGGGAAGGCTTCCTGGCAGCGGGGCTCTTCGTGATGGGGCGGGGCCGCTTAAGTGCTGGGGCCCCTGGAGCTGAGTGGAGCGGAGACCGCGGTGGCGCCCGGGCCTGGGGCCGGCAAGGGGAGGAGGCCCTGCCTGGCTGAGCTGAATCTCTGGAAATGCTCTGAAGAGCATTTCCCTTCAGAGGGATGGGGCCCCCCCGGGGCGGGGGACTTAGCTTTCACCCCAAGCGGAAGAAAGTCAGGCTCTAGGCCTGTGCAACCCAGTGACCTTGAGAAGGCTCCCCTCCACACCCCAGGAGTCGGGGGGGTCGATCGCATCCCAGCATGGGGGCCCTTTGGGTCGTCCCCCCATTCCTGTAGCCGGGAGCTCCTGCCCTGGGGCTCGAGGACAGAGAGGAAGGGGGCCTGGCCCACCGCGCTGAGGAGATGAAAGCCCCGCTCCCTCTGAAGGTGCCAGCCGGCCCGGTGGGCCCCTGGTGCGGGGCGCTGCCTTTCCTGATTCCAGCAGCATCAGGACTAATCCCCCGGCTCAGACGCCCTTTGAAAGGAGGAAGCCAGCCTTTTTGCTGGGGCAGAAACGGCAAACAGAGCTGTGCTAGATGTGTAGGTTTGGCCCCTTTTGAAGAGAGAGAAGGAAAGGTTCCTACAAGGCTGTGGGTGTCTGTGGGCCTCAGCTCTGCAGGGTCCTCCGAGACCACAGCCCACTGGGCGGGAGTGCGGGAGAGAGGGGTGTGCAGGAGTGATGGCAGCCGGGGACCCTCCCTTCCCAGGGCGGTGAGGAGCCCAAGAGGGACAGGGCGCTCGTCCCCCTGAGCCCAGAGCAGGAAGGGGGACGAGGAAGGGCAGGGCTGGCGGACGTCTCTAGAACGGCCGTCAGGACCTCGTGGCCCAGCCGTTAGCAGCGTGGCATTGGGATTGTGATCCTGGGCCGGAGTCCCAGCTCTGCACTCGCTGTCCTGGTGTTTAACCCTTTGGTTAGTTTTCCAAGTCTGAGCTCCTGTCTCAGCGTGGTTGCTGTGATGCCGTGGGGCCCTGACCTGAAGGGCCGCCCTCGCTGCAGGCAGGAAGGCTGAGGGATGGCGGGGCCAGAGGCCGGGGGCAGGGAGGCCAGGCCAGAGGGCTTGAATGTGGGGCTCGGGAGACACGGGTCCCAATCCTGTGTGACCTTGGGCGGCAGAGCCGCAGGTGAGAGTCCCGTGGCCCATGAGCCGGTCTCGTGAGCCTGGGGATAATCCAGGTGCAGCACAGAGAGCGCCCGGCGCCCAGGGCCGCTCATCCTCAGGCCCGTCCAGCCCCGGTGGCAGGCGCCTCCCTCCTGGTCGGCAGGGCTCCCCCTCCTGCCCTCGCTGCCCAGAGGCCCAGCTCGGGGGGTAAGAGGGTTGGAAGTGGTAGCATCTCTCCTGTGGCAGAGCGGGTGAGGACCAGGCCCCGCTCTGAGCGTTTCTAGGACAGGCGTGGCGTCTCTAATACCCGTTAATCAGACTATTAGCGGTGGAAGCGCAGAGCCTCTCAGCCGCAGCTTTCCCGGCTTAGGACCTGTTTGCCAAGACTTTACATGAAGGAAAAACAAGTGGTCCTGTGGAAATGCGGTGAATTCCAGCTGTTCCTTCACGCGCTGCTCTAGGCTCCCTCTGCTTTCCCTCCAGACACTCTCCCGATGGGACAGGAGAGGCGCTTTTCCGCCCCGCCAGGCCTGCCCCCAGGCTCCCAGGAGGACGAGAGTGTGGGCAGGCCGGCGGGGAGAGAAGCCCCTGTAGCCCCGGAGCCGGGATAGCTCGGTCCTGGGGGGCCGACAGCCTCCCATGGGGGTCTCCAGTGCCCCCTCACCTAGACGGCCACGCAGAGGCTGGTCCTGAACCGGGAAGGGACGATCTGAAAAGTAGCGACACCGGTGACCTTTCAAGGGCGGGTCCCCCCTCCTGCCTGGGGGCTCCGGGAGTGGGTCTCACACTGACAGTTGCTGTGAATTGAGCGCCTGTGATCTGCCAGGCACCGCTGAACGCTGTGCGCCCACCGTCCCCGAGAAGACGCTCCTGCAGGCTCCATCCGTGGGTGGGAAGCAGGTTCAGAGGACAGGGCGTCAGCCAGGGTCGTGCTCCAGGTCAGAGCCCAGGTGCAGAGCCGGGTGTGATGCCACAGTCATCTTCCCACCGTGAACTGCTGGGGAGGAAGGAAACTGAGCACCCCGCGGGCTCCAGCTTGACAGCAGTGTGCTGAGGACGTTACACGTGTTACTGTATGTAACCTTGCCGTACCCCGCTCCTGGGCATAAACCGTGTGTCAGGGTGTGGGGTGCCACCCACGAGGTCCTGAGTCATGACCAGCACTGAAAACTGAGATGGAGCAGGGTAGAGGGCGTCAGGGGGCGTCATGCTGAGTGTTGTGTGTGCGCGTGTGTGTGTCTGTGTGTGTGTTTAGAAAAGCCTGAGAAGACCGGGTTTACGAAGTTGAAGCTTGGGGAAATCAAGTGGCTTGTCGGGGACACACAGCCGCTAAGTGGCCGAGGCCGGGAGAAGGGGGCAGCTGTAGAGCCCAGGGTCCTGGCTTCGAGTCTGATGCGCCGGCACCTGCCCCTGAGGTGCTGCCGTGGTCCTCGTCCAGCCTGGCAGAGCGGGCTCCCTCGGGGTCCCGGGCCGAGGGCTCCCGGGCCGAGGGCTCCCTGGGGGCAGCGTCCGTCTCTCACTCACCCTGGGCAGAGCTTTGGGCGGCAGTGACGACCTGCCAGCCTCACCGCCCGCCGCCCCCATCCCCCGCCCCTACCTCCCCAGCCTGGCAGCTGCATGGCGACAGAAGCTGTGCCAGCTCGGGGCATTGGAAGCAGAGTTGCAGTTGCTGGGCGGCCCTGGGCTTAGAGAGGTGTGCTAATCCCTTAAGAGGTGTGTGGCACGAGATGAGAGGCAAGGGAGAGCTGGGGAGGAAATCCCCCGGGCTGTGGGCCTGGCCCTTGGCTCCAGTTCCCCCCAGAGATCAGGTTCAGGTCCTGCAGGAAATGCATGGGCTCTGGAGCTTCAGAGGCAGAGAAGTGGTAATTAGGGGGAGATGCTGCCTTTGACGACAGCGGCAGTTCTGAGGGCGGGGGGCGGGGGGGGAGGGTGGGGGGGCGGGGGGATGGGGCAGAGCGGGGAGGGCGGCCGGAGCGGCTCTGGCTCTGGAATGGGCACGAAGGGCGAGCTCCCAGCTCCACCCTGCAGACACTGTCCTTTGGGGAGTGAGCTGGGGTCCCAGGCCCGGCCCAGCAGGTCCTGGGGGTCTCCCCGCTGTCCTGGCCGTGGCCGGCAGGGCCGAGGGGTTCTGCAGTCCGCTACCAGCCGTGGGGGCACGTGGTGCCTCTCCTCGAACGACAGGGTCATTGCGTCCTCTCTGCTGACCCTCCGCGCTCCTCTCGAGGGTCAGGAGTGAGTCTGGGGCGCGGCTGGGCCTGACCAGAGCCCCCGCTTCCCAGCCCCCGCCCACCCCGCAGCCGCGGGCGCCCTGTGCTGGATGGGCCCTCGGGGAGGCCTTTGGGGTTGCTCTCCTGGCACTGTTTTCCATGTCAGGCGTTTGAGACCGCCCGGCTCGCGGTGCCAAGCCTCTTCTTCTTCCCGCAACAGGACGCGCGCTCTGTGGCGGCTGCCACCTTCTCCGGGCCCCGGGCGAACACAGTCCTGGAGCGCGTGGAGGGAGCGCAGCAGCGGTGGAAGCTGCAGGTGCAGGAACAGCGGAAGACAGTCTTCGATCGGCACAAGATGCTCAGCTAGGCAGCAGTGCCGCCGGGCCACGATCAGGGCAGGGCCGGAGGCCACACGGAGCTGGCCACTCTCCCCACTCAGTGCTGCCCTCTGGGTCTCCCCCTTAAAGCCCGGGGCGTTTTTCCTTCTCTCTCTGTTTTGACATGTGCTCAGCTGCATAATCTAGGAAGAGCACTGGGCCCATGGTCTCGGTTTGCCTGCACAGGTGGTCTTCGGGGGGGAGGGCTGGGGGCCTCGGGACTGGAGCGACCCTGTCACCTTGCTCCCTCCTCGCCACCCTCCCGGCTCCAGACCTTGGGAGCTCGGTCATCAGGAGCTGAGTGTGGGACAGGAAGGCACGGCCGGCTTCCTCCCGGCCCGACTCCTCGGCCCTGGCCCGGCCTCACTCCAGCCCTCGGGACGGCTCTGCTGGGAAGGCTGATGCCACAGCGCGGCCGTCGTCCTCAGGGCACACCTGGACGCTGTTCCGGCTTCTCTCCCCCTTCCTCTTCTCCCATCAATGCAGGGAGAACCAAGGACCCTGCTCGCTCTGCCTCCTGGCCCCCGCTCCCACTTCGGAAGCCAGGCAGTGCCCCCCCCACCTCCCGCCCCGGTCTGCAATTGCTGAGCCGTTGGTGGGACCACAGGACCCCGAGGCCGAGTGGTGGCTCTGAGCACCTGGGCTCCTATCCACAGACTGACACTTGTCCCTGAATTTCATTGTACCAGTGCATGGAGAGGAGTGTCATCCTTCTCTTACCTGTAAATCGAGGAAGCCGCCTGAAATTGTCTTGTCTCACTTTGTGGATCTCAAGAGACTTCAAGGACTACGAGTGTTTCACAAGTGGACCCAGAGAGGGGACAGGAGCATTGTCCTTGAGGGGTCCAGGCAGAGAGGCAGGGCCCGCACAGTCCAGGTGGCTGTGGCGGACGGAGCCCACGGGGGGCCTGGGCGGGGTCGCTGCTCCTTTCAGGCTCCATTCCCTGCAGGGGGCAGTGGGTGAACTGGCCCTTAGGAACTACCCTGAGTTTGTGTTTCACCTTTGTGGGAGAGCCCCCTGAGACTCTGAACAGTGTCTGGTGGCAGTATCTTACAAATACAGTACGTGGCGCTCACTGAAAAGCCTGTATGTTTCCCCAAATGAAAACCAGCAGGTACTCAGGGGTGGGGGCAGCCAGGGGAAGGGTGCTGCCAGGAGAAGCTTCCAGGGGCCGCCAGGGCTGAGTCACATCCATCCGTCCGTCCCGGAAGTGTGGCAGGGGTGCGTCCGGGACCCAGGCAGAAACGGGCTTGGCGGCCCAGCTGCGTCTGATGGAATTTCTTCCCGCAGGGTTTGTCCAAGGCAACGTGTCGAGAAGGCTCCTTGTGGAGCCCTGAGCCAGGGTCTTGGTGGGGTGGGCATTTCAGTTTGCAAAGATGTGCCCAAGTTCAGAGCCATATACAGGTACTGAAGGGCACGGGCGGGGCTCCGGAGGAGCAGAGACTTGGGGTTGGCATTGGAAGTGAGCAAGGGACACAGTGGAGGGGCGAGGTTGACGGGTCCTGGGCCAGTGTGAGGCTTGCGGCGGGTTAGCGGGAGGTACGTGGGCCGCAGGTGGCCGCGCAGAGGCTGCACCTCCGCCCTCGTTTGCCCCGCGTACGCTTGGTGCCGGGCAGGCCACCCGCTGCTTCAGAGGCCTCGGTGGGCCGCGAGTTCTTCCACGATGGGGATGCTTTCCAACAGTGGGTAGATGGGTGTGTCGGCTTATCAATCACCAGTCCAGGACTTGGTGTCTCAGATTGCCAGGTACTCCTCTAAACCACCCTGCCCAGGGGAGACCTCGAGTGCTGTTGTTTCTCTGCGTGTTGGTTGAGTCCTGCAGGTGATCTGACCCGTCGGGTAGTCTTAAGGATCTGGTCTGTAGCAGGTAGCTGTTGTTATCTGTAAATAAGCCCAGTATGTGAAAATAAATTAACGTAAAAGGTTAGGAATGATTCTTCAGTGTCTTAAGGACTCAGCCAGTAACTAGCCTCTCGATGTGCTTTGACTTCGCACACACGCTGGTTTCGGACAACTACTCCCGGTGTGCCTCGGTGACCTCGGAGCAGGGTCCCTGCGGCCAGCGCAGCAGAGGCCAGAAGGAGCTGTTCCCCGCCTCACCTGAGAAATAAGTGCTTGTGTTGTGTTCAGAAGTCCTGTTTGTCTCCCATCAAACAGCCACACTGTTCTGCAAGGGTCTGTTCCCACCTGGGAAGAACTTGTTGGGTTTGGCCCTGGGGACCGAGCCTTGGAATTGGTCAAGCAACACGTGCGGGGAACGGGGAGCGAGGGGCCGTCCCGCTCCTGGGCTCCCCCCTCCACCCCTAACCCGGACCAGCTCCTTCATTCTCTGGCTTCCTTGCATCATTCTTAACCCTGCGAATCCCCAACCACGGGTCTCCAGCCCAGCCTGTCCCGTTCCCAGCGCCCTCCCGCTGCCCCCGCCCCTGCATTTGGCATTAACCCTAGGCAAGCTTCCTGCGTTTCTGTCCCCTTCTCCCTAACGTGGGAAATCTTGCCTCACTGCTTGGGGAAAAGCAAGGCCGTCGGGGGTGATCTCACAATTTCCTCACCCCACCTGCAATTTTCCTTCCTATTGATCTCGACTGCTTTGACCTTGGAGGTTGCTTCCTGTTCCAGGCCAACCCACCCGTCCCCTCTCCCTGGGACCGCCATCACCTCCAAGCTCGTCCTGTTGCCCGGTGCCGTCCAGCCTATCAACACACTCAAGTCTCCCGTCCTGAAAGGCCCATCTGTGGGCTCCACGCTCAGCTCTGGCTATGGGGGTCCCTTCCCTGTCCCCACTCAGTCCCTCCCCCGAGCCCTCCACAGGTGGAGGTACTGGTGAGTGTAACTGCTGGACCCAGAGCGTGTCCTCGGCTCGGGCCCTCCCAGCCCTTATGCTGCGCCGACACTGGATCCTGCTCCCCAGATATGCGGCTTCCCGGGCCTCCCTGCTCAGACCGCTCAGCTCAATGTACAGTTTAACGTGGAAGTTTTCTCCGAGGCTTTTCTCTCGGGTGGTTTCCTGACGTTAATTCTAGAATCTCCGACTCTAGCCCAGACCTGACCCCCCAGCTCCAGATCTACCTGGCTCTCAGCCGGACCCTCCCCACTGGGGCCCACAGAGCCTGTCAAAATCAGCACGTCCAAAAATAAACGCATCCTTGCCTGGAAATCGGCTGCTTTTAGTTCCTTTATCTGCGTCGGTGGTACCACCCGTCGCCACGGTGCTCAAGCCGGAAACCAGGGGCTCGTTGGAGACTTGAGTCTCCCTGGGCTGCAGGTCCCACTTCCGATCACTCACGAAGTCCTGGCAGCTGGGGCACCCGTTTCCTCCCCTCTGCCCGACAACCACCGCCCAGTTCATTATTTCTCCTGGGGTTCTCGTGGGGAGCACCGGGGAGCTCACATTACTCCGATCACGTCACTTCACTCCAAGACTCTCCAGGGCTCCCCGTGGCCTATGGCCAGAGGGGTTATTTTGTTTTTGGCCACGCCTCGCAGCTTGCGGGATGTCAGTTCACCAACCAGGGATTGAACCCGGGCCACGGCAGCAAAAGCCCAGAATCCTAACCACTGGGCCACCAGGGAGCTCCCTTAGGGCCTGAGTGCTTTACTGAGGCCATCGTCCACCAGCCCCTCTGATCATCAACCCCAGACAAATTGGCAGGAGTTACTGGTGGGGACTCTGAGACCCTTGGAGGGGCGTTGACGGCCCCCCAGACACACGCTCACCGGGGGTGGAGGGGGTGCCAGCCATAGGTGCCCAGGAGGCTCTGCGTCCCTCCGCTCCCAAGTTCTGCCCTGGGCATGCTGAAGCGGGGGCCGAGCTTGAAGAGGTGGCTGAGGGCCGGAAGAGGGATGCCCGGGCCCGGCTTCTCTGTCCATCCCTGGGCACCTGCATTCCGTGCCACGCAACTCCCACGGGCCAGGAGTGCCCGGGGGATGCCCGGGCCTGGAAGCGGGATGGACCTGGCTTCCTGAGCCCGCTCAGGCCTTCCAATCCCTCCTGTCCGAGGCAGTCTCCTTTTCCGTAATGATACTGCGGCCCGGGGCCTGGCCTGTAGTAAGTGCTCGTGAGACGAGGGGCAGGGACCAAAGCCCCAGAAGGCTGGTCCTCCATCCAGTAAAGCGGGTGGGGCGTTAAGAGCGTGAGCTCTGGGCCAGCAGCCAGGTGCAGACCCCAGCTCTGCCTCTCACTCCAGGGCCGCAGGCACCTCACGGGGGGGTGTAAGGAAGACGTCGTTACTGTGTCTAAGGCGCTTAGAACAGCCCTGCGGGGTGCTGGGTCTTCTGACTCACGTCATCACTGTGACAGCATAACCCCCAGCCGCCAGCCAGGGTCTGTAGATGCCGGGGGGACTTCCTGCGCTGACATCAGAAACCCGGAGCCCTCAGGCAGATCCCACCTTGTAGAAGTTCTGCCCCGAACTTCCCAGGGGGCAATGAGTCCCGTGGCCCCCTGGCCCCGGGTGTGGGTCAAGCAGCCGGAGGCCGGCTGACCCGAGGCCCCTGGCCTCTTCGGCCTCCTGCATCAGGGCGGACACGCAGGGTAAGGCTCCTCCGGGCGTCCGGAGCCTGGCCCTGCCCCGGCCCTGCTGTCCGTCGCCGTGCGACCGGGCGCAGACAATCCGTCCGAGCGTCAGCTTCTCCAGATGGAGAGGGAAGACCTGAAGCCAGCCCGTGGTTCCCCAAGGGCGGCCCACGTGTGCAAGGCGACTTCGGGTGGTGCCCAGAAGAGCGCTTTTTCTTCTAGTAGTTATGTGATTATCTTACTGTGCATTGGATCAAAATGTAACCAGCACGTGAACTGCATGATTTTGTGAATGTTCATGTGAAGGGCAAGTGAAAGGAGGGAAGTGGGTACACGTAAGGAAAACTATCAGGAAGACACCGAGTACAAGGGGTCCTCAGACATGGCAGAAACGGCAGAACTGGGGGAGAAATTTTGGAAGGAGCCGCGTGCCGATGGTGCTGGTTTGGTGAGGCCAGTTGGCTTCTGGGCCACCATCAGCTCTGACACCTGTGGACAACTTGAGATTCCAGTGCCCCCGTTGGCCTAACAGGGTGACAGAGTACTGAGAGGGGGTCTTGACAAGGTTCTGCTGGCCCGATGGTGCAGGGCGGCTCAGACCAGCCTCCAAACAGACCCCGGGCTGGAGACCCTGGACTTTACCAGAAAGGATTCCTCGTGTAGCAGCCAAGCATGGCGACACCGGCCAAGCTGCCTGAGTCCAGGCCCAGCGCTGAGCCTTCCAGCGGCGTGGCCTTGGGCAAGGTAATCTGTCTTTGTTTCCTCAGCTGAAAAGCGGGAATAGTAACTCACCTCACGGGGTGATGTGTAAGTGTCTGCTGGGTGTGGTTTGTGTCTGCGTGGCAGGGGCGTCTCTCCACTGCTGCTCAAGGGGTGCTGGGGGCCCCTCAGCCCACTCCCCACTCTCCTGCCCGCGAGGAAGCCGCACGGGACTCGACATGCGACAGGGTGACGAGGCAGCGGCCAGGACACAGCTGCCCCCTTCCTGCTGACTCCCCCAGGTCAGCAGGCTTTGCCAGACAGAGCCGGGCTGTCGCTCCACAGGCCACACCAGCCGGCTGTGTGTCCTGGGCCAGCCCTGCCCGCTCGGGGTGCCAGCTGCGTCCGCTGACCACCGAGGAGGGTGGCCTGGGTGAGCTCCAAGGGCCCCTCTGGCTCAGCTGCCAGGTGGTCCTGGAGCCGCGTCCCCGCAGAGGCTGGCATCCTAGCTCCCGGTTCAGCCCCAGGGG